CTCTACGGTAGGATTTTTATCATTGATATAGTCAGGTATGTCAATTAGATTAATCGATCCATAATTTGGTTCACATCCTATATGTCCTAAGCTGTGCATTGTTGGTGACGGTGTCATGCATAAACCATTTGTTGGAGTTGCACAAGGTGTTCTGTAATAATCATGATAATCTGGTTGTTGAATTTGTAAATATTTTGCCTTAATTGTAGTTTTGTTCATCATAAGTTGAATTTTATGATGACCAATAGTCGGCGGCATATTAACACATGATGAACGAAAACGTTTTTTATCTTGATATTCAACAAGTACTTGACGTAATTGTTGCGGTGCTGATGTTAAACGTTGTTTAAAAGCATTCATTACATCAGTCTGTAGCATGGTTGTTAAACTTGATCTTCCTTGAAAACGTATTGTTTTAGTTAGTGCATGACGAAATTCTGTACCAGACAAACAATAAATAAGAATACTTGCATAATTAAAATACATTAAAATATTATAGATAGTCCATTGTATACGTCGACAACGCATTAAATCAATCGATGCTTTGTGTGATAATAAATCAATTATAAATGCAGTTACTGGTAAAGTTGTTGCAACAAATACAAATGATGAACATATCATAATTAAACATAATGAACGTAAACGATTTGTTGCTTTGGAACGACTAACGAAATCACTTTTTTTACCTGGGCTAGGTACAAGAAATACACGATTAATAACAGTTAAATTACATAAAATAATAAATATAAAAGGGATTATTGTTACAAGAAACATATCAATCCACGTATAGATGTGTTCAAAAAAGTGTACATAACTTGGATGTAAATAACATTGTTGATATTGGAATGGATTAACAGTAGAGCGTGTAGAATTGAGACCATGTAAACTCTTAGGATGATTATCACCTTGAACAAATATTAATAAATGTATATTAGATAAAGATACAATAGTAAAAATGATGCTTGAATTAATCGATGCTTGTCGTGTTCGACACCATTTTGATGTATATATTGGGAACTTGACAGCAACATAACGATCTAAATTTAAACAACATCGAAACCAAGATGAGAGATGCAGCGTATTACTAGAAGAACAATTTTAATAATGAGTTATTATTTGTCTTTGTATAGAAAAAAAGAATAATGAACTTACTAGAAGAAAAAAACATGTAGTTTACATAATAATGTACCTTGTATATGAACATGAAGACTTGATGATAAAAGTAATTCACGTAATAAACCAAGATTTAGAACAATAGTGTCAGCAATAGCCATAAATGTTAAATAACGATAAACACTGTGTTGTCTCATGCGTATTAAAACAATGATTGTTAAAACATTGCCAACTGTTCCCAAACTAAGTAAGTATGGATAACTATGCCATTCAATTTGACGTGCAATTTCACCTTTTAGTGAACAATTCATTGTCATTGTTTGCTAACAATCATTTAACTAATAATACATTAACTGATTGTAATCAGTTCTATAGGAGAACAAAAAAAAAACAAAAGAATAGTGATGAAAAAACAACATATATTCGGTTCGATTAAGACTCTTGTCAGGTAGGTCCCTTATTTTACTCTGTCACGCAAACAATCTGATTATTAAATAAACGAAGAAGAAATATTTCTTCGGTTGAAACGACATACTATATGTTAGTCTGTTTTATAGGCATCATCAAAATATGGAATTGTATTACACACTTCGTTAAAAGAAAAAAAAACACACACACACGGACAAAAATCTAATGTAATTATGAATAAAAACTATGAAGTATATACAATTCATAAGAACAATGAGAATGCTAGCAAACTTTCATCTCTTTATAATGTTATGTTGTTCATCAATTACCAATAATCAAATAGAAGAACTCTAGATGCACAACAAAATGAATCAATGACTTATTATGAACTATATGTGGAGGGTTTACGATTGTATATAGAAAAGAAAGACTTAACAGATTTTTTCATACCCTCTTCAAATATAACCATAAACATTATCGTTGTACAAATCACAAATTTTCTTAAGTATAATCTCGTTATCAGAAAAAAAGGAAAAAAATGTGGACGTAAAAGACCAAAAATAAGAGAAAAAAAAGTTGTCATTTATGACAATACATTTTTAGCTGGTAGAAATGTTTTTGAAAAAATAGAAAAAACATTAGAATTTCAAGGGAACATTTTTTATCTGCTTACATTGGAAAAATGTATAGACAATGAAAAAAAAAATATATTTAACAGGTAACTATTTGTTTGTCGGATCACTTTGTCCGGAAGTAAGAAAAGAAAGAAACAGTATTTACTCATTATTTTTACATACATCGTCACTGATTCAAAAGTGACTTTGAGTAACATGAAAATTAAAAAAAACATTCGCTATATTCGTTCTTCAATTTCCTATTTGAGCTTTAAAAATCATTAAAGTCTCTAATACACACATCGCGCATGTTAAAGAGAAAATAAAAGCGGAAAATTACTGTTCGGTGTTGTATAAAATATTTGGCATGCCATATGATTTCTTGATGGACACATCATTTTATATGCTATTGTTCTCCATAGTCACCATGATTCTCATATTAGTCTACTAAAAAATATCAGCCTACAGATGATTCAGATAAAACGAGACAAATCTATTTTCTTTTTTTTTTGAAATACTTCGATATACTTTCAGAACATAAATCTACAGTCATTTGATAGAGGATTTTTGATTCTACAGAACTGTTGCGTTTTTTTTTTTGGAAAAAAGTTTTCTTTTTTGCTCATCAAGAATAATCCAAAACATATCTCGGTTATCGTCAATCAATAGAATATTTTGTGCTTTCTGCTTCGACGATCATTTGAAGATTCCTTGTACTATTGCTCATGAGTAAAAAGGATTAGAATGAATTCTTAGTGATATTTTTGTAAAGATTTTGGAAAAACGTGGTTGTCAAAGCGAAATCTGATGTATGAAGTAGTTGTTCTTGTCCTATGCGATGTAGAATTTAATTCTGAAAAAAAAATGATGTGACTGTTAAATTGAAGGGTTGAAACGATTAGATTATGCTGAATTTAAAAAGAACGATCACATAATTTTGTCATAACGGATTTTTTCTGAGATTTTCCTATTTTTCACTTCAAAATTTTTCTTGTAAATATTTTTCCTGACACTCTGATACACATATCAAAAGAGGCTGATTGTTATGGAGATTTGTTGACATGTTTGAAATTTCAGCAAACCGCTGTTAAAATAATTTGCATAATTTTTCTGCTTTGTTGATCGGTACAGTTGAATGATTCAGTCAGTGTAAGTACTTTCAATTTCGCTGTAACAACAAAAACTTAATTGAAAACAGAACGCAACAATTTTGCACAACAAAACTATGTCTCAAATGACTACAGCATGATTTTTCAAGAGAAGATCTAAGTGACCTAAAATAACAAAAGGAAATTATTTTTTTTGTCTCATTTAATCTGCAGCACCCGTTATATTACATCTATATTTTCGTTTTCGTTAAGAATATTTTCTTGGTCTTTTTGACTCGTTGTCTTATTGTTAGAAGATGCAATGTTGTTGTTTTGGTTTATGTATTATGTGTACAGAGGCATATCTTTTTCTTTGCTGTCATTCAATGGTGTGTCAATCGTCCATCAATGTATAAACTATGGTTCTTTTTCTTGGCAAAACACGCCAGAGATGGGATGAGACTGGTATTTTGATGACCGATAATGGTTTCGCTCTAAGTAGGTAAGACCGAGGCGGGACGACCTTATTTGCCGGAAACCGAACAATCTAGAAAAGTCTATCAACGCAAGAGTTGTTAATTGTCGTTATTGATTCCATTGCTAATAATAGTGTTATTTGAAATATTCAATTCTCAACGAAGTTTTATTACATATTCTGTATGAGTTATTATTAATACTAATCGAAGTTTTGAATATGTTTATATAATATCAGCAAAAAAATTAATACGATAGATCAGTAATGAGTAGTTTATCAATGGCCGATCAGTAGATTGATGATCTGCCTTTCTTATATTAATAACTGATTCACTAAAAGACGAACCAATCTGAAATCTGTATTGATATTCAACTGTCACTAACCGATATGGCTTATTTTTCTGCAACATATCACGATATATGCATGTTGACTTATCATCTGGGATCAAGAAGAGAAAAGAACAAAAGAACAAGAGAGAGAAAAAGAAACAGAAAGAAAAATTTTGAGGACATTGTGAGAACACAGCCGGTATGTGAAAAGAAACCGCTGGGTTAAATCAAACTTCTCTAACGGAAAATACTCATGTTCCGAATCAGACAATAACAATATCATATTTTAAATGACACGGCAATCAATCTTTCTTTGTTTGTTTTTCTCCATTAATAACATAACATTACAGCGTACCCGCACAATGATATTTCCGAAATGATGCATGTAAACATGTATCAATTGGTCTGTGTTCGTTGTCATAGCAGTTCGGTCATCAGTCTTTTTCTGATTGCACTTTGGTAGCTTTCTTGATTCTTGTGTATTTTCTAACAACACCTGCTATGAATAATGAAGAATTTCGTCGTCGTGGGTAAAGACATGATTCATTATATTCCTGACTATTTAATTAATATTAGGTTAGAAAATTATCAAAATGAATTTTTTTATTATTTTTATATTAATTAAAATCATAGTGAACGTTGTGTAACACCAGAAGAAGAACCAGGTTATTTACGATCAATGTTACCATGAAATTCACCGGACAAAGTGAATCATGGGATGATATTATGAAAGATGTTGAACAAACAATAATGCCTGGTATAACACATTGACAACATCCACGTTTTCATGCTTATTTTCCAGCTGGAAATAGTTATCCATCAATTCTTACTGAAATATTTTCAGCAGGTCTTGGAATTGTCGGATTTTCATGGACAGCATGTCCAGCATGCACTGAACTTGAACCAATTATGGTTGATTAGCTTGATCGTATGATGTCTTTACCAATATCATTTCTTCCATTTAATTCAAATAATGATAATGAAACTGAAACTCTCAATACTAAAAATTGAATGTGAAACAGTACATGGTGGTGATGGTGTTCTTCTTGTATGTCATTTTTTACTCATTAAATTGATATTTTATTTTTTAACTTTTGTCTATTTAGGGTTCAGCAAGTGAATTTATTTTAGTAGCTATGTTAGCAGCAAGAACTAAAAAAAGTTAAAAGTAAACGATTAGAAAATTCTTCAATAGAAAATGGACAAATATTATCAAAACTTGTATGTTATTCGTCAAAGCTTGTACGTGTGTATTTTTCAATGGAAATTTACAGGCTTTTGTTTTTTCTTTTTGTTTTTTCTTTTTACATTACGCTCATTCCTCTGTAGAAAAAGTTGGTTTTATTACAATGGTCAATATTCGTCAATTAGTTGTTGATGAAAATTATTCATTACGTGGAAAAATACTTGATGAATATATCCAAGTTGATAAAGAAAAAGGTTTAATTTCATTTTTTATTCGTAATTTTTTTGTCTATGTTATTATATAACCAAATTTTAGGTTTTTGTTTTTTTATTCAAATAGATATGTGGTACATTAGGTACAACATCATGTTGTTCAGTTGATAATTTTGAAAAACTTGAACAGATATGTCAATGTGAAAAACTTTGGTTTCATATCGATGGAGCTTATGCTGGTGCTGCACTTATTTGTGAAGAATTTCATTATTTATAAAAAGGATTTCAAGTAAATCAATTTTTTTATTTTTTCTTATGAATTATTAAGTATTTGTTAATTGAGTATGTCAATTCATTTAATACAAATCCAAATAAATGGCTTTTAATGAATTTTGATTGTTTCTGTTTTTTGGTAAGATTTTTTTTTCTTGTCAATTAGTTTGTTTATTTTTATTTTCTAATACCAGAATTCGTGATAAATTGGCAGTGATTAATGCTATGTCAGTCGATCCACTGTATCTTCAACATAAACATGTCGAAAAAGCAACAGATTTACGTGTAAATATTTACAAACATACAGATTATATTTTGATTATGAAAAATCTATTTAGCATTGGAGTATTGCATTAAGTCGAGGATTTCGATCACTTAAATTATGGTTTACTATTCGAAATTATGTTAAAGACGGTCTTCGTCATTATATACGAGAAGTATTTAGATTAATCATTTAGTAATATTAATCCTATGCTTGTATTTTTAGCATTGTCGTTTGTCAAAAATATTTGCTAAATCATTAAAAACAGATGATCGATTTGAAATAATTGTAAATGTTGTATTTGGACTTGTTTGTTTTCGTTTGAAAGTATGTGAGTTTTTCTTGTCTTATGAAAAAAATTAATAATTCCATTAATGAAGATGTTTTCTTTTAGGGAGACAATATATTGACTGAAAAATTATTATCAAGTTTAAATGATTCAGGTCAAATCCATGTTGTACCAACAATGCTCAATGCAGTATTTATAATTCGTATTGTTGTTTGTGCTAAAGATGCTTTGGAATATGATATGCACATTGCATTTTAAATAATTCAAACATGTGCAGATGGAATTATGATTGAAGATAACAAGGATTTATCATCAACACCGATAAAACAATGTTGAATTTTTAGTTTTATATCTTTTTTTTTTTATTATTCTTTATAACACAGATATTTCGAACCAAAATAATCTATCTCGTAATTAGCTTTGTCTTATCTTTATATCAAATTAATTTCTTTCTTATCTGATTAATTGATGATTATTTCTAAATAAAAATTTCGTTTCTTATAAAGAAACAAAGAATGTTGATATATTTACATTATCTTGTTTGTGTTAAGAAAATTGAGAGTATATAATAATAATCTAAGAGATGACGTTGTTTTGAGTGACAAATGAGAATAACGAAGTCTGAAGATTGACTGTGTCAACGCATTGAAGATTTGATGATGATAACACTAAATGCCTGCATACTAATGAGATGTCAAAGTCAAGTATACATATGAAAAAAAAGTTCTATTTGTAAAAAAAAACAACAAAAACAAGAATAATTTAACCATTATAATAAAGCATAAGTTTTTTTTTATTGACTTATATCTTGAAAACTAACTTTGCTGCGTACAGAACTTTTATCATCAGTATGATCAGAAATGTCATTTTGATTATTTAGTACAAAGCTTGGTCCGCCTCCTGTATGTCGAAAACTTTGAATTGTTGATGAGCTTGTAACGCCTAAGCCATTTGTTTGACTTGTACAAGAATTTCTGTAACGACCATGATATTGTGGTTGTTGAATTTGTAAATATTTTGCATGAACTGGTGTTGTTTTCATTGCATGTTGATTTTTCTTATGACTAAGCGCTGGTGACACACTAACAGATGATGAACGAAAACGTTTTTGATCTTGATATTCAACAAATACTTGACGTAATTGTTGCGGTGTTGATGTTAAACGTTGATTAACAGCATTCATTACATCGGTCTGTAACATGGTTGCTAAACTTGGTTTCCCTTGAAGACGTATTGTTTTAATAAGTGTATGACGAAATTCTGTACCGGATAAACAATAACTAAGAATACTTGCATAATTAAAATACATTAAAATATTATAGATAGTCCATTGTATACGTCGACAACGCATTAAATCAATCGATGCTTTGTGTGATAATAAATCAATTATAAATGCAGTTACTGGTAAAGTTGTTGCAACAAATACAAATGATGAACATATCATAATTAAACATAATGAACGTAAACGATTTGTTGCTTTGGAACGACTAACAACTTCATTTTTTTTACCCGGACCAGATACAAGAAATACACGATTAATAACAGTTAAATTACATAAAATAATAAATATAAAAGGGATTATTGTTACAAGAAACATATCAATCCACGTATAAATGTGTTCAAAAAAGTGTACATAACTTGGATGTAAATAACATCGTTGATATTGGAATGGATTAACAGTAGAGCGTGTAGAATTGAGACCATGTAAACTCTTAGGATGATTATCACCTTGAACAAATATTAATAAATGTATATTAGATAAAGATAAAACAGTGAATACAACGCTTGAATTAATCGATGCTTGTTGTGTCCGGCACCATTTTGATGTATATATTGGGAACTTGACAGCAACATAACGATCTAAATTTAAACAACACCGAAACCAAGATGAGAGATGCAGAGTATTACTAGAAGAACAATTTTAATAATGAGTTATTATTTGTCTTTGTATAGAAAAAAAGAATAATGAACTTACTAGAAGAAAAAAACATGTAGTTTACATAATAATGTACCTTGTATATGAACATGAAGACTTGATGATAAAAGTAATTCACGTAATAATCCAATATATAAAACAATTGTATCGGCAATAGCCATAAATGTTAAATAACGATAAACACTATGTTGTCTCATGTGTATTAAAACAATTATTGATAAAAGATTTCCCACTGTTCCCAGACCAAGTAAAAATGGATAAGTATACAATTCTATTTGACGTGCAATTTCTTCTCGTAGTGAACAATTCATTGCCATTGTTCACTAACAATCATTTAACTAATAGTACACTAGTTGATTGTACTCATTTCTATAGAGAAAAATCAAAGGAACACGCATAAAAAAAAACCAACATATTCAGTTTGATTAATGACTGTTGTCAGGTACTTTTCTTAGTTTACAGCATAACGCAAAGAATCTGATCATAAAACGAAAGAAAAAGAAGAAGAAAGACTTCTGCGCTTCAAAAGACATATAGTATATGTAAGCTTGTTCTCTAGACATCATCAAAATATCGAATTGTATTATATAGTTGGTTAGAAGAAAAGAACATAGGCGAACAAAAGTCTAATGTAATTATGAATAACAACTATGGAGTATACAAGATCTATAGAAACAATTAAAATACTAGCAAACTTTCATCTAGTTAAAATGTTATGTTGTTCATTAATTACCAACAATCAATAAGAAGACCTCTAGATGTACAACAAAATGAATTAGTAATAGTAGCTAACTATGGACTTTATGTAAAAAGTTGATGATTGTATATAGAGCAGAAAGACTTAGTTGATTTTTCATATCTGCTTAAAATAGAACAATAAACATTACCATAGCATTAATTGCGAATTTTGTCAAGTAGAATCTTGTTATCAGAAAAAAAATTGCGTGGTCTCAAAAGACAAAAATTAAGAACAAAAAAAGTGTTCTCTCTTATGTAAATACATGTTTTGATCGTAAAAATATTTGAAAAAAGAAAGGAGAAAAAAAAAATTAGAATTTAGAAGGTGCCATTCTTTCTCTCTTGGCATCGAGAATCGGCACACAACAATGTTAAAAAAAGCATAACAGGTGACTACTTGTTCGTCGAATAAGTTTCTCCGAAAGTAAGAAAAAAAGAACAGTATTTACTCACTCTTTTTCTTGACAAATATTTTCCTTGATTCAATAGTGTCTCTGAGTGTAATGAATGTCAAAAAGAAAACACTCACTACATGCATTTTTTAATTCCCTATTTGATCCTTAATAATCACTAAGAAGTTCCTAATACACATCGGACATACTAAAGAGAAAATAAAAGCGGAAAATTACTGTTCAGTGTTGTATATAATGTGTAACATGCCATAGGATTCCCTGATGGACACGACGTTTTCTATGTTATTGTTCACCATCGTCACCATGATTCTCGTACTAGTCTACTGGAGAATATAAGCCTATATTACATCTATATTTTCGTTGTCGTTATTAGTCTTTTTTTGGCTCTCTGTCTCGTTCTCTTTTTCTTCAATGAGAGAATGTTGTTGTTTTGGTTTATGTATTATGTGTATAGAATCTCATCCTTTTGTTTCTGTCATCCAATGGCGCGCCCTTCTTTCATCACCGTCCATCTTATAGTTGTTTTTACTAGCACGACACGGCGCTATATATGCATGTTGACACATCATTGGGATCAAGAAAGAAAGAGAGCAACAGGGAGAGAGAGGAAAAGAACGAGAGAGAGAAAGAGGAGGAGGGAGCAAAAGAATCATAATGGGAAAGATTAAAGAAATTCGAGAAAAGGCACAGCCGGTATGTGAAAAGAAGCAGCTGAGTAAAATCAAACTTGTTTAACAAAGATTACTCATGTTCTGGGTCAGGAAAACAATATAATATTAATAATGAGCATAGCAATCAATCTGTCTTTCTTCTTTCTTTTTCTATCAATATATAGCAGATGAGTATGAATGCACAAGAGTGTTTCTGAAATGATACATGTAACTATGCAACAATCGGTCTCTATCCGTTGTCATAGTTGTTCGGACATCATTTCTTTTTCTATTCGGGCTTTGTGGTTTGCTCGATTGTTTTGTAATCAATTTTTTTTCTCAGCCAGTATCTTATACACTCACACACACATACACATATGTATTTACACTATTTGTATGATGAATTGTAAAAATATACGGAAGCTTATCTGAAAATATGTACCCCTCTATAAATAATATTTCCCATATTGAATAATGTACAGTCATAATATGCGCTCACGTTCTAAAAAAGAAAAAAAAATAAGAAAACATCTAGCTACATTTTATGTACGCTAAACGATCACACATTTCACCATTAGTTGTTCGTTACTATTGATTCTTTTCTGATTATATGAGTCCGTTGAGGCGCATTTTTCGGATGTTCAATAGAACGCAATCCTAAAGTGGAATGTCAGTGCGAATTAACGTCAAGCATTTTTTCTCTTCAATTCATATCGAAACAATCATCAGTAAATAATACATGCGAGTATCATCTCTTCATTAAAAAAAAATTAGTGTGAGCAAATTACGTCATTCGAGATAGATGAAACTCAAGAAAAATACTAACTCTATCCATATCACAGTGCTAGATAGATAACACTTTCTCAAATCGAGCTCAAGGTCAGAATTCATCGTTATCATTCTGATTATCAAAGAGCCAATACTGCTATCAGTATAATACGAATGTAAATGAGGTGTACTAACATACGTATACAACGCAATACTAACCGATTTTCCATCCAACAGACGACACATCAATTTACAGAGAGAGAGAGAAGATTCATAAAAGCATATCTTTAAAGGGCACCAAAAATGGCCATAAGGATATAATAAATACAAAAAGAATCATACAGTTCTTGCAAACATCTACCATAACAAACTGATTATTTTTCTATTAGATTATTAGATTTGACATTTTTACGATGAAACTGATGCATTTTGTTCGCCTAATATATCTAATGATAATCATAATATAAATTTTGGAAGATAAAACATCTAAGAAATACCTATAGCAATATGTAAAAAAAGGAGTTAAACTTAACAAACTTATGCACATATATATCTATAGATCAATGTTTCTCTTGTCTATACATTAGTAATACAATAGAATGCACCCAAGAAAAGTAATGAAGGAGACTTTGAATTATATTTTATAGTTATTAATGGTAGATTATATATATATCGGTAAATTTAGTTTGTTATCTCGTGTTGAAAAGACACCGACTAAACGATTGATTAAAACATACATCAAACACATTGCCA